GGGGTGCCCGGGGTGATTTTGGGGCGAGGTGTGAGGGGAACCGGGGCCATGAGTCTGTGGGGTGCCCGGGGTGATTTTGGGGCGAGGTGTGAGGGGAACCGGGGCCATGAGTCTGTGGGGTGCCCGGGGTGATTTTGGGGTGAGGTGTGAGGGGAACCGGGGCCATGAGTCTGTGGGGTGCCCGGGGTGATTTTGGGGTGAGGTGTGAGAGGAGCCGGGCTGTGCCCCCCCTCCCCTCCATCCCTGTGAGTGATGCTGGGCTCCCTCCTGCAGCATCCCCAGAGCAGGAACAGGGCGCTGGGGACTTGCTGAAGCTGGAGAGTGGCTTTGGGGACAAGGAGCTGAGCCGGTAGGTGTTGGCAGAGGGTGGGTCCCCCCCTCCCTGACCTCCCCATGCCAGCGCTGGGGGCAGCAGGGCGGCTCTGCCCTCACCTATACCTTGGTGCCCCGGTGTCAAACACCCGCCCTGTGCCACAGGACCACCAACCTGCGTGCCAGCCTGCCCCTGCCCGAGTACTGCTGGGCCAGCGGCCGCCTCAATCTGGCCACCCACCTGCGGGGCCAGCGGGGCCGGCGCTGGCTGCGCCCACGTGTCTGTGCAACCTATGGTGAGTGTGGTACGGGGGCTTTGGGGGGCACCTGGGCCGCCCCCGTCCCACAGGGACCCTCGACGCTCACCCAGCACCCCGCTCCCGCTTCCAGGTGTGCACCTGCGGGACCGGAACGTCGGGACCAAAAACCTGGCGGTGGAAGCTGCCGATTCCATCAACATCCTGGTTCATGCTGCGGCGGCACCACGGGGTACGGGGGGGAGCACAGGGGGTCACACCACACCACCCCACCCCCCTTGAGCCCTCCCTGAGCCCCCCCTCTGCCCACAGAGGTGCTCCTGCCCGGCGACACGGATGACATGGATGCGGCGCTGAGGGAGCGGCTCAAGGACACCGGCGGCCGGCCCGGGGCACTGTGGCACATCTTCCGTGCCGAGGACGCCGCCCGGATCCGGGATTTCCTGAGCAAGGTCAGTCCTGGGGCGACCAGGGCACCCCCTCCCATGCTGCCCACCCCGCCTTGAGTGGTGCCATTGGATCATCCCCGACCCCGGTGGGATGCAGGGGGGATGAAGGGAAACCCCGAGACGGGGGCTCATGGTGCCACTGGAGCATCCCTTGTCCCTCTCCGGACCCCCCCCTTTCCAGCTCCGCTCACCCCTGGCACCCCACAGGCATCCGAGGAGCCGGGGCAGGAGGGGGTGGCCACGGGGGAGCCCCCCGGGCGCTCCCTGGACCCCCCCGGGCGTTACCTGGACGCGGCGCTGCGGAGGCGGCTGCGGGAGGAGTGCGGGGTGAGCGGCTGGACCCTCCTCCAGTGCCTGGGGGACGCCGTGCTGGTCCCCGCGGGGGCTCCCCACCAGGTAGGCAGTCCCGAACCCCCCTGGGGGAAGCTGTGCCACCCCCCCGTGTGGAAACCGAGGCAGGGCGAGCCCCTGATGCCCCCCTGGTGCAGGTGCAGAGCCTGACGGGCACCATCAGCGTGGAGCAGCGGTTCCTGTCCCCGGAGAGCTCCGCCCGCCTCCGGCTCCTCAGCCCTGATCCCGCTGGGACCACACGCCAGCTCCACGCCCAGGTGGGTGTTCTGGGGGGTGCGTGTGTGTGTGGGGGGGTGTCCCGGTGGGGGTGAGTGGTGCTGACCCCCCCTTTGCACCCCCTGCAGCTGGACGGGATGATCTTTGCCGCCGTGCGGGAGGCGCTGGGGGTCCTGCGGGGCTGCAAGTGAGCCCGTGGAATGCTGGAAGGACGCTCTGACAAGTCTGGGATGGGGGCTGGATGTGGGCCCGGACCCCCAGGGAGCCGGGAGCGAGCACTTCCAGCTTGGTGCTTTGCTCCAGGATCTCCCAGGACGGCTCGGGGCAGGAGGAATAAAGTGTCCACAGTGTGCCGGGGGCACCGGCACCACCAGCACTGCCTCGGGGTCTGCCTTCATCCCCCTTCTTTCTCACTGGGGTCAGGGATGCTCTGGGGGCACCACCAGCACTGCCTCGGGGTCTGCCTTCATCCCCCTTCTTTCTCACTGGGGTCAGGGATGCTCTGGGGGCACCACCAGCACTGTCTTGATGTCTCTTTTCATCCCTCATCCGT